TTCCTCCCTTTCTGATGTCATGTTCATATATCTTAACTAACATCTCTCTTAGGAACTATAGTCCCTCCCACATCTCATTTTTCACATCCTGCTAAGCAACAGCCCATTTTCAGTTTACTACAGTAATTAGGTATCTCTTAACTTCCTTGCTTTCACTGAAAAGTAAAATAAATAAACTAGTGAGAAAATCAACCTACACTTTCCCAACTCTTCAAGACTCCTCCACTTCAAGATAAGAGCCTATATATCTCCCCACCCCAGATCAAATCTCTTCTGAACTCCCCTCCTCCTTTCTTCTTCATTTTTTGTTTTGTGTGAGACAAGGTCTTCCTGTAACCCCAAATAGCCTAAAACTCCCTGTGTAGATCAGGCTGGCCCTGATCTCACAGACATCTTTCTGCCACTGCCACTTGAATGCTGCGATTGAAAGGCATGTGCCACCATGCCATCTGACCTTTCTTGGAGTCATGGAACTGTGTAGTCAGGTCTAAACTTGAGCCCAGGCCCCATCAAAAAAGCAGATATCTAGGTGTCGGTTAATACAACTGTAACTGAAAACGGCAACCAGAGCTGAAGTCTTCCAGCTTCTACCTCCCACTTTTATCCTGATGGCATTTTGCTTTGATTTTTTTCTCCTGTCTCATTTGAAGAATCCTAAGTGGACAGCATCCCGCTGAGTAACCTTGGCCCTGGTGCCCTGGTGCACACTGACATCTGAGGACAAAGATTTGCTCATATGCAGGCTTGGATACTGACTAGTTCCCTTCCCATAGTGGATGTATTCTCACTCCCATTTCCCTCATAAGGCATGGGTGTTCTTAGTGTTTGTTAGTCATGGGTCTTTCCTGAGAAATATTTTTGTGTTTTTATTCTAATGAAAAAGCAGTATCCTTTACATGAACTAACAGTTCTTTCTGATCTGTGGTTATATGGAATCTGATTTTCATTCACTGCAGAATGAAACAGGCCCTTATCCTGCAGCCACAAAGACTTCCCATCTCAGAGTTCAAATGCACATTCAGTCTCGGCTAGGAGTTAGTACCATCCAGCTGTTGCTGGATTAGCTCTCCTGGTTTCCTTAAAGCATTCCCTCTTTTTGATATTCTGATGTCCTGTGGAACTCCACAAAGTTTCTGTAGTATTCTAGAGTTGTCTGGAAGAAAGGTACTTATAGCATGCTCACACCTGAATAAAAGAAACATGAAAATATTTCCAGTAGTAAGTTGCTGCTCACTGCTTCTCGAATTCATTGAAAAGAGGTGTGGGGAGAGTTTTGGTTGTTTTAATATTTTGACACTTACATTCCTTGTTCCATTATGAAAACATCCTTATCTCTAGCTGGAAAGGCACTTTCCCACTTGCAGGAACTCTTTTGTGCATTATCATCTGAGTGGCAGCAGGGGGTGCCACAGCTGCAGATGTGCCTACTGCCCAGATAGAAAGGCAGATTTTACCAGTTGCTTTAGAAATCAGCCTACTGAGTCATCCCTGTTTATTAGCTTCAGAGGTAACGAGTCCTGTGCTAATGAACTCTTCTGATGTCTCTCATGCATCCGTTTAGTAGGTAATGCCTTTTTGTCCCGTCACGCCATATTTTTCTTAACATTATATTTCAAGAAAACTTCCTTTCGGTGGGCACAGTGGTATATACCTTTAATCTCAGCACCTGGGAGGCAGAGCCAGGCAGATCTCTATGAGATCAAAGCCAGTTAGGTCTACGTTATGAGTTCCAGACCAGCTGGGACTACAGGGAGACCCTGTCTCAAAAAACCAAAACCAAACAAACAAAAAACCCAAAAAGCTTGCTTTCTCAGTGGCATGAGGTTTTTGCAGCTCTGATCTTTGCAACAAGTTTTAAAATATATGTTCAAATATTTGCAAATGTGCATATGCAGATGTGCACATATGTTCAAATATTTGCAAATGTGCATATGGAGAAATATTTCCAGCCAGGTGTGGTGGCATATCTTTAATCCCAGCATTTGGGAGGAAAGGGCAGGCAGATCTCTATGAGTTCAAGGTCAGCTTGGTCTACATAGCAAGTTCCAGGAGAGCCAGGGCTACATGATGAGAGCTTGTCTTAAAAAAAGGAAAAAGACAAAAAAGAAGGGGCTGAGAGAGAAATGACTCAGCAATTAAGAGCACAGGCTGTTCTTGCAGAAGACCAGGGTTCGAATCCCAGTATCCACATGGCAGCTAACAACCACCCGTAGCTCCAGTTCCATGGGCACTGTCCGATACAGGTGCACTTATACACATGCAGGCATAACACTCTTATACATGAAATTTAAAAATTAAAAAATTTTTAAAAACAGAAAAAAAAAGTTTCTCCAAAATATTACCTAGAAGTTTTGAGTTATAAACCACTTACCAGTTATTTTTTCTCACGTTTTTTATGGTGTAATATTTGCCTCTCTGGTTCTTTAAGAGGAAGGAGTAGAGCAATTTGTTTGCTTTTCCTTGTAGACGACAGTAACTTACACTCTTCTGGAGGCACTTAAAGAGGTGATATCCTCTAAAAGTTTCACGTGTGCTACAAAGAACAGCAGTATCTCATTCTAACCTCCGTAAACACCGTAGTTACCTCTCTTGCCAGTCACTAGATCATAGAAAAAAAAAACTCTACATTTTCCTTAAAATATTTTTGATGTGTGGAGCTGGAGAGATGGCTCAGCATTTAAGGACAGTTGCTTTTTTGTAGAAGACCCAGCTTCAAATCCCAGAACCCACATGGCAGCTAACAGCTATCCGTAACTCCAGCTCCAGGGGATCTGACAGCCTCTTCTGTCTTCTGTGGGCATTGCACAACACAAGTGTGCTTACCTACATGCAGGCAATACACATACACATAAAAATAATAAATAAAATTTTAAAAAATTTTTTAAAATATATTTTTGATGTGTTTATTATTTTATGTGTTGGGGGTGTTTTGCCTGCATGTATGTAAGTGCACCATGTGCATGTAGTGCCCACAGAAGCCAAAGAGGACTTCCATTTCCTGGAATTGGAATTATGGATAGTTGTTAGCTGCCATGTACCAAATCTAGGTCTTCTGCAAGAGCAGCCAGTGCTCTTAACCTCTGAGCTGTCTCTCTACATCAACTTTCTATTCATTGTTTTCTTATTCTAACTAAATGCTCTCTCTATACTAAAATTTCCTTCTCACATTTCAGGTATACCCTAGCCTTTGCCGTGTTAAGAATTTCCCACCCTGTGTCTCAGGAAACACAAGATGGTTTTCAGCCTCACCTGAGCTGTATGGGTGTGACCCTCCCACAATCCCAAATGAATTGGAGGTGTACTCTGCCTTTTTCTGAAAGACCTCTGGGTCATTGTCCATGTAATACAATCCCACCTTGTTACTATCTACTGGCACCCAGGGCCACTCGCTGGCTGGTATAACTCAGCTTATTCCTAATGTGCTTTCTCCTCTAAGGTCCCTGCCGCTCACAAAGGCCTTCAGAACTCAGCTTGGTCTAGGATGTCCTGACAGCTTTGTGTTCTTGCTCCAGTTACATGTGGAGGGAATTCCTTACATGTCTTCATTGTTCATCTTCAGAACATCAGCTTGCCAGCCACATAGTTCATAGAAACAAACAAACAAAAATCCTAGACACAGCTGCATTTGTCCTGCATAGACATATGCATGCCATTGGGTAGGCACCATGTGGTAGGCATCACACATGGGGGGGAAGCAAATTCATGTCAGTTGTACACTTCACAGAGTCACTGGGTCTTGTGATTTTTCCACTCATAATCTTGAGATGCTAAATCACCCCATTGTATGTTGTGCAGGTCTGGCATCACCCACTGCTATAACTCCAGTCTCATCTCCTCTCTGCAGCAAATCAAGGGGTACTACCCCAGTTTCCAAACCCTTGGAAGGTATGTTGCCCCTGTCCTGAGTGCACTGTGAATTTCTTCGGGGAGTTCCCAGTGGTGCTGTCTCACCCATGTTTTTTTCTTGTTTAGACATTGAAGCCAGACCAGATATGCAGCTGGAGTCAGACCTGAAGTTAGACAGGCTGGAAACCTTCCTAAGAAGGCTGAACAATAAAGGTAATACCAGAAGCCAGGGGGAGGCTTTGGTTTGCTTTTCTACAGCACACTGTGGTTTGTATTTTCAATAAGTAGCAAAGAAAACCCTAGAACCCCCTGAAACCCTGCTCCTGCCTCAGAACCTTCAAATCCTATTTATTTATTTATTTATTTATTTATTTATTTATTTATTCATTTATTTATTCATTCATTTATTGGTCTGTTTGAGACAGGTTCTCTCTGTAGCCCCAGCAGGCCTGGAACTCACTATGTAGATCAGATACTTTTTTAGCTTTTTAGTTTTTTGTTTTGTTTCAGCTTGTTGTTACTGTTGTTGTTTTATTTTATTTTGGTTTTTAGAGACAAGGTTTCATATAGCCAAGCCTAGACTTGAACTTGTTATGAAGCAAAGGATGACCTTAAATTCCTGTTCTTCCTCCAAAGTGCTGGGATGATAGGCATGTACCACCACAGCTGGCTCTCTGGATCCTAATCCTGATTGCTTTCTCTCCTTAACAAAATTATCTCCTTTAGTTTACCTTTAGTAATTTATATATACATATATATGTACATATATATAAATACATATATACATACGTATATGAAAGGAACTTTTAGTCAGAACTGTTTAGAGTCACTCAGTAACATCCTGAATTTGAGATTCCCAGTAGTGCACTTGTTCTGAATCTAAACCCTTGGGATATCATTCAGTCAAATTGTGAACTTAGTGATTCTTGCCTTCAGTCTTTAAGGCAGTTAATATACATGTGTAAAATCCACATGATCTTTGGGGAGCTTTAAATTGCATGCGTTGGTTTCTCTTAAGGCAAAAGTTAAAATTTTTTTCTTATAATCACGAAAATATTGTAAAAGAAAGTTCTGCTAAACAGATAACAGAATAAACATTTCAGTATAAAAGTCAGTGACACAAAAGGACAGTGTGCAGAAATAGCCATTTTACCTCTTGCTAAAAAATATCCAGTTATCCAATACTAGGCACTGTGATTCTCTACTATTGGTAGTGATCCCTCAAAAGTTGAATATTATACAACACTAAAAACTGGAAATACAAAAGTTTAATATAATCGCTGACTGACTGGGTAAGTGACCTAACCTGTGGATTAGCCATGGCCAACCCCAATGCACCACCTGCTTTTGTAAATAAAGTTTTATTAGAACACAGCTATGCTCTTTTGTCACCCTATTGTCAGTAGTCCCTTTCTCACTGTAATAGCAGGATTGAAAAACTGCAACACAGGCCATATGGTTTCCCAGTCAAAGCCTAAAATACTTCCAGATCCCTTGCAGAAAAGTTTGTCAAGCCCTAATATGGAACAGAGCTGGGTTAGTCTCCTCTCCAGTAGAAATGGGTCAGGTTCACTTGATAAATATCACTTGCTGTGTGAGCAAGGTCAGCCCTCTTTCTTCCACGACCATCTCACTGTGTTAGGTTTGTACAGGTGGACTGTCCTTCCATAAGAAGTAGAACACGGACCCATCAGGCACCCAGGGGCCTTGTACGTCACTGCTATGTTTTCCCCACTCCTAGAACGTAAGGAGAGAAATCGTTTTTAAATACTGCAAGATAAGGTCAGAGTAATGACCTCCAAGCAATCCATGTGGTTTATTTACTTATTTGATAGTTGCTGGGATGCAGGAGACAGTCCTCACGGTCACTGGTAAATCTGTCAAGGAAGTGATGAAGTTGGATGATGATGAGACCTTTGCCAAATTCTACCGCAGTGTGGATCACAACACGCCAAGAAGTCCTGTGGAGCTAAACGAAGACTTTGATGTTATTTTTGACCCTTATGCACCTAAGTGAGTTATTTTGGTCTCCATCTTTCCTCCACTGGGAATGACTTCCCTCACTTGCTCCCTGAGTTCTGTCACCAGAGACTTCTGCCAGGCAGTAGAACTAACATCTAGTACACTGTTGCTATAGAGCCCGAGGCACAGTGTCATGGGGCAGATAGAGCGCATGTGGGCCACCCTGATATGTGTGCAGGCTGACTGGGCATGCCTCAGATTTTGGTCCCAGTCCCGATAAGGTGACACTGGCTTTCACATCTCTTGAATGTTGTTTTGCAGTGTTTTAGAGTTAGGAACACTTAGCATAGATGCCCACAACTGTTCCACTGGACACAGTTAAACTGAAATTATTTGGAATGATAAGAGCTCAGATTAGTAAAATTAACTCAAAACTCAGAAGAGAAGATGACTTAGTATAAAGTTAGTATAGCTAATGGTTTTCTCTGGAGCATCCAGAGGTTCACAGGGGAACCTGATGAAATCACCTCAGAAAAGTGATTATGGTGTTAGAATTCCATCAGTTACAAATGCCAGAAAAATGCCCAAGTCATACTGATATCACAAAAGTTGTTACAGTCATACACTGAAAAGCACATGGACCCTAAACTTCAGAGGCAGGTCATGGTGTGGCCTTTCTTACAGCTATCTTTCCATAAAGGCTGGCTTCTCTCTTGGTCAAGCTGAAACTGTGAGAAGAAAGATGGCCATCTCTAGCACCAAATGGACAGGCTGCCTATTTAGCCCACTCAGTGTGGTCAGCTTCACTGTCTAGGAAATCCATCAAATTCAGGTTTGTTCTTCATTGCTCCAGCTTGGGTCCTAAGTTCTGCCTTAAACCACTCATATAGCCAAGAGACTAGCCAGAGGGATGGAGTGAGCTGGGCTCCCCAAAGGAAACCCCACATGTCATTAACAGAATCAGGGCACATATGCTAAGCAGGCCACACCCACTGCCACCCACACCATGTCTCTCTTCTTCCCTCCAAAATTGTCAAAGCAACTCTGTCTTCCAAAAGCATGTGTACTCATGGCAAAAAATTCCATAAACTGATACATTGTTTTATATATTTCGGTCTGTTGGATTTGTCTTCTCCCAAACCAGATGTCACTGTTGAAGTTGTTATATAAGTTGTGATATGTAATAATGTAAACAAATGTGCATTTATGTTCTCACACATGATGGTGTTATACGTAATAAACACTTTCAGGACAGTTTCGTGTAGCTGCAGGGGTCTGACGGGAGATCATGGAAATGGCACTCTACCTCCCCGGGCAGGCCTGCCCACAGACTTCCGGCAGTCTGAGAGGGCCACACAGAGCTTTGCCTGCCTCTTTTATTCCAATATATTCTTCATGAATGTAGCTATTTTCCCCAGGGCATGGGGACTAGTAGGTTGAATGGATGCCAGCTGTGAGGGAACTGAAAAACTATTGTGTAGAGAGAAAACAGTGTGGAGCAAAGAGGATTCAGTGGAGGACTCCTGGCCTTCAGTGGAGTCTCTAAGGGCCTGCTAGTGACAGCAGCAGTGAGTACAGATATGTTCATTCGTAGAGGATAAGGACATGAGCTTTCAGGTGAGGAAAGTTATTAACATACAGGACTGTCCAGCAATAAAGCACAGATGCCCTCTGAGTGGGGACCAAGGACACAAGTGGACAGGGCTTCTGGAACTAGGGGAATCCTTATCTCATTGAGTTCAAAGCTCCCTTTACTGCCAAGGTTCTGTGACTTCATAGCACGGCAGTAGCAGTGGAAGGCACTGCGAGACTTACCATGAAATCAGGAAATGAAACGGAGTCCATTGTCCTAGGTCCAGGACCCACAAGTAAACCAGGTGTGCTGGGGGCCTGGCCTATGCTGGGGGCCTGGCCTAAGCTGACCCTGCTCTGTCCACAGGTTGACATCCTCCGTAGCAGAGCATAAGCGCTCTGTTAGGCCCAAACGCAGGGTCCAGGCGTCCAAGAACCCCCTTAAAATGCTGGCAGCAAGAGAGGATCTCCTTCAGGAGTACACGGAGCAGAGGCTGAACGTGGCGTTTGTGGAGTCCAAACGGATGAAAGTAGAAAAGAGTGAGTGTGGGGAGACACCTGTGCTCAGGGCCTAGGCACTGCTGCTCTGGTGTTCTAATCATTTCCTTTTGACTTGCCTCGCAAAGTCCAGTGGACATTCAGAGGGCACTCATTAAATAAACATGCATTCCCCTGCCTAGATTTAAAGGCTTTTTATGTAGATTACTGTTGAGTAATTTAAATTATACTGGTTTGCTGAACTGGCTCTCAAGAGATGGAAGAAATATGTTTCTGGATTTTGGAATTCAACCTATTTTCAGCCCCTGGAAAACTCAAACACAGTAATTCTCCATTTAATCTTATTCAAGAGTGTGTTAAGAGATCTCTTGTAGGCATTCAAAACCACTCTTCCTCACCCTAGGTTTTAAACTAGTGCTTTCAAGTTGTTCTTGAGAGAGATATTTGGTAAAGCTTGGAGTTGAAGTGGATAGGCTTAGGTGGGGGGACTTAGAATGAGCTCAGGAATCGGGAGTGAGGTCAGCTCCTGGCCATGCCCTGCCCTAGGCCATACAACTCTGCTTTTATCAGTACCAGAAAGTGGATTCTGCTGCCATCTAACAGTGTTTTCTGTGGAAGCAATAGCATGCATACTCTTGATATTTGAATATTTTAATATAATCTTTATTTTCCTATAGTTGCTCATAAACCAATTCCCTAACGTTTTTCCTAGATTATTTAGCTAGATATGATGGTGCATGCCTGTAATCCCAGCACTTGGGGCAGACACAGCAAAATCCCATGTTCCAGGCCAGCCTGAACTATGTAGTGAGACCCTGTTTTCAAAAGAAGGAAGAGAGGGAAGGAGGGATAGAGGGAGGGAATGGGAAGGGGGGGCAGAGAGGGACGGGGAGGGAGGCAGGGAGGCAGGGAGGGAGGGAAGGAAGGAAGGAAGGAAGGAAGGAAGGAAGGAAGGAAGGAAGGAAGGAAGGAAGGAAGGAAGGAAGGGTAAAATGCATGACTGAATGAAGGATTTAAATGAAGGAGTTGAGTCTTCATTATAACTGGTTGACAAAGTGTTTTCAAACTCACCGGGCCACTTGAAGTACGAAATAGTATTCTGTTTTTGCATGGTTAGGATCTGATCCTAGTGAAATCACTGTCTGAATTTTGCACAAGCATGAACATTTTTAAACCATGAGTTGGAGAAATAAAGGTTTATTGGAAAATGTTTACATATTTCTCCATGACATCTACTTCTGTGGATTTTAGGGCCTGGCTCGTGGTGACTGGTCCACACTGAAAACCCAAGGTCATATGATTACAACCTTAGGTCTGGGGGCAAAGGACCTGGAGATACCAGGCAGTGGATCACTTTGCCTCTGCACGAAAGTTAGAACTAAATCCTTACAGAGCGTCTCTTTTCTACAAGTGAAGACTTGGTGAAAGATGCTTACCAGGGTTCCTTGGCAATCCATGCCAGCATTTGCAGGCTGTTAGGATTGCGAGATGAATTCAGCACCTGGTTTTATGCCACGGTAGCAGTGCTGGTCTGAATCACTGACTTGGCCCTCTGCAGGGTGAGGTGTGACACTTGTCAACAACAGTTGATGCTCTCCATACTGCATTTAATTCTTTACACAGTGATTAAGCATTGGCTGTCATCCCTCCTCAGACTTGAGTCCTGTCAGTTAGACATCATCTGTGATTGTAAACACTGGCTTCTCAACTGAACCTCTCTGCTCCCCCTACCCCGCCCAGTGTCATCCAACTCCAACTTCTCCGAAGTGACTCTGGCAGGCTTAGCCAGTAAGGAGAACTTCAGCAGTGTTAGCCTGCGGAGCGTCAACCTGACAGAGCAGAATTCCAACAACAGTGCGGTGCCTTACAAGAAGCTCATGTTGTTGCAGATTAAAGGTATTTCGGGGCAGCCTAGAGGAACTGTGGTGACTGGTGCTTCCTGTCTGGTCACAGTGAGTTCTGGCTGTGCTCACTGTTGCCTGGGAGGGAAAGGAGGGCATTCTGAGAGTGTCCCTGTGCCATGTGCTATGCCACATCCCCTCACTGTTGCTTCTCACAGTCCATGAGACCAGGAATTCTGCCCACTGGGGCTCTGAGAGGTGCTGAATGTGGACACAGTAGTTGCTAAGCGGCAGATTGGAGTTGGATCCTGGCCTTTCCCACTCCAGAATCTCAGCTTTTGCTCCTTCTTCCCCTGGCCCCATAGCCCGTACCCCAACACTGCCATGCACTTTGGCACAAGTGCTATAAGTCTCTAGAGCTGGTCTCTGCTTTCTTCTCAGTTTTCCCACTGGGATAAGCCATGGTCTATGCCAGCCAGTGTGAGGAGGGCACATTCCTGGGGAAGGAATCACGGAATGCAGAAGTAAATGAGGGTCCAGTCTCCTCCCTGTTCTGCTTAGAGCATGTGAGACTTAAAAGTGCAGCAGGCAGTAAGGCTGTGAGGAATGAGGCTCCACTACTAGTGGCACTCCTGTAGACAGAGCATCAAGAGGAAGGTGGATGGAGTAGCTTGTACCTCTGCCAGGGATTCTGGGGTGTTTCTGAAAACCCATTTCTCTTTTAGTATTTAAAAGAGGGCTAGGGAGATGGTGAGTGGGTAAGAATGCTTGCGGTGCAAGCTTGAGGACCTGCGTTTGAATCACCAGCATCCACTTAAAAAGCCAGGTGTGGCCATGTATTCCTGTAACCCTGGCACTGGGGGTGGATCCTGGGAGCTCACTGGCCAGCCAGCCTAGCCCAAATGACAAGCTTCAGGTTCAGTGAAAGACCTGACTCAAGGGAATAAGGTAGAGAGAGGCAGAAGCCGACAGCCAGCATCCTCCTATGGTCTCCACATGTACGTACGTGAACACACACACACACGTACACAATACCCACAAGGCAAGTGACAAGATCCAGTGTGGAGACTGTACTAAGTATGCAGATGTGCAAAGCGCCAACTCAATGAATCACATTTGGCTAGGGGAGAAAAGGCACCAGGAAAATAAAAAGAGGGGAGAGGTATCCCTGCCAGTTTCCCAAGATGGGAGAATCTTACTGCATCCACATACAGGCTGAAAACCAAGACCCTGAGGTTGGTCCTAAGAAGCATGGAGACCTTTGGACAAGCTCTCAGCACACTCAGCAGCTGCTGTGTTCCGTCTTAACTTCTCTGTCCTGCTGGTCATGGGAACTCACATTGGTGGATAGTCTTGAAAATGGGAAGACTGTAGCAGGGATGTGTCCACCATGGGTGTCTACAGCTCAGTCCCTCCCCTGGGAAAATGACTCTGGGCCTTGTGTACAGGAAGAAGACATGTGCAGACGAGGCTGGTGGAACCTCGCGCCTCATCACTCAACAGTGGGGACTGCTTCCTTCTGCTCTCTCCGCAGTACTGCTTCTTGTGGGTTGGAGAGTTTGCAAACGTCATCGAGAAGGCGAAGGTGAGCTTCTGAAGGATAAAACGCCTCTGTTACCTGTCCCCATGGGATGTTCTACCTACCTGCAGGTCCATATGAGCTTCCGAGATACCCAGAGCTTCATTCAAGCAGGAAGGGACAGGGAACCGTCATAAGGTGCTGAAGGTCTATAACCTGCACTTTCAGTATTAAAGCCCCAGGTCTAATCTGACTCTTGTGTGACCAATGAATTGGCACCTGTCCTAGATTGTTTTCTGTTGCTGTTATAAAACACTGACCAAAACCAGCTTGGGATGGAAAGTGTTTGGCTTACAACATAGTACATCATCAAGGGAAGTCAGGCAGGAACCTGGAGACATGAACTGAAACACAGGCCACGGAGGAATGCTGCTTACTGACTTACTCCCCTGGCCGGTGCTCAGCCTGCTTTCTTACTTCACTCAACAATCAAGAAAATTCCCCACAGGGTGGCCACATGCCAGTTTTGTAGAAGAAATTCTTCAATTGAGGGTCCCTCTTCCCAGGGGTCAAGTTGTATGTCAAGTTGTTGACTTGACACTTGTCACTTGTTAACTTCCAAGTGTGTCAAGTTGACAGGTAAAGCTATCCAGCATGGTGCCTTTGTCCTGGGCACCTGGGAAAGGCCACAGTGGATCTCTCATGGGAATCTCCTGGGGGAAAATCCTCAGAGGACAGGTAGTGTTTCTAAGCTTCATCATGATCTGTTGAATACTGAAACCAAAGAACTATTGCTCTAAGGAATTGAGATATCTGGTCCTGCTGTTAATGTTTTCTTCACTTAATTGAAAGTGCCTGGCAAGCAGTGTCCAGCCACCTGTGGCCAGACTCCCTAATCAAACAGTCTTTTCTCTGATGTCACCACACCCCACTTTGTGCATGCTGACTTTGCTGCCAGGCTCATTGTGTTTCTCTCTTTTTTTAGGCCTCTGAACTTGCAACTTTAATTCAAACAAAAAGAGAGCTTGGTTGTAGAGCTACATACATCCAAACCATTGAGGAAGGAATTAACACACACACTCACGCAGCCAAAGACTTCTGGAAGCTCCTGGGTGGCCAGACCAGTTACCAGTGTAAGAGTTCACTGTATTTCACAGTCTGATGAGGCTTGAGCTCCTGTGTTCTCCCTCAGCTCATCTGTCAAGCCATCTACATTCTGACATTCTTTCCTTTTACCCCAAAGCTGCTGGAGACCCAAAGGAAGATGAACTGTACGAGACAGCAATCATAGAGACAAACTGTGTCTACCGCCTCACAGATGACAAACTTGTTCCTGATGATGATTACTGGGGCAAGATTCCAAAGTGTTCCCTCCTGCAATCCAAAGAGGTATAGGCTTTCAAGAGAAGCAGCTCTGCCATAGCTGGCCTGGGAAGCAGGCAATTCTAGCTAGATTCCAAGCTGATTATCAAACATGGCAGCTCTTTAAAAGCTATTTCTTTTGCCATTTCAAATCATTACTGCCATCCCATCTAAAGTACTATTATAAATTTCAGAATGTTTCCCAGAGGTGGCATGGATTATTGAAGGCTTTTATATTTTATGTAAAATAGAAATATCATTTATCCCTATCTCTTAAATTTTGTATAAAGGTTAATAAAGTAACTTTTAGTTAGTCCTGAAGTTTCAGAAATAATACATATGTATATATAATTTATGAATCTATCAAGTAATATTTTTTTCACTCATCCCAGCAAATACTTATTAACTCTGTAAGTTTCTGGTTTCATCAAGTATTCTGTAATTGCTGAGAGAAAAGAGGACGATGCAAAAGAACCTTAAACTCCACTGAATAGAAGCATATTAGAAAGACAGTAGGACCAGCAACATGGCTCAGAGGTGAAGGCACTTGGCTGCTAAGCCTGAAGGTTTGAGTTCAGTTGCTGGGGAGGGATGGAAGGAGAGAGCCGACTCCTATGAGTCATCCTCTGACCTCCTCCTGCATGCAGTGGAATACATTAAGTTAATTAATTCATTTTTTTTAAGTCACTGGGTTTTCTTAACCCTTCCAGCCATTCTGTCTTTTGTTCCATTTACAGTTCTCTCTCTCTGTCTCTCTCTCTCTCTCTCTCTCTTTCACACAAACACACACACACACATGTACACACATGTAAGTATAATTTTTAAATGTTTTAAACAAAAATGTAATCTCTAGAGCTCATTACTGCAAGTGAAAAGTGAAATAAGCCAGATGCAGAAAGAAAAATATTGCATGAGCTCACCTATATGTGGAATCTTTCAAAAAATAAATGAGAAGAAAGTTAAACCTGCAGAGATAAAGAAGAAAGCAGTGGCTGGGGAGGTTGGCCTGGGGAGGTGGGGGGAAGCTGGGGGTCAGAGGGCACAAAGCTGCAGGAGGCTGGGGAACCATCTGGAGATCTGGTGTTCGGCAGGGGCTGCAGTTCTCAGCTATGTTTGGGACTCCTGGTAATGTGGAAATTTTAGCTGCTCTGCCACTCAGATAAAAACTAAAAGCAGAAACAGGCTGCACTGTGGGATGGTGGCTACGTTAGCTTTCTCCACTATCATAGCCGTTTTACTGTTGTTTGCGTCCCAGACTGTCATGTGGTGCACTTTACATAGATTCAGTAAGATGCGTGATAGTATATTTTAATGACAAAAATGGGAAATAGTGTGATCCAAATCTAGATTGAGGCTGTGATGATTTAAATGGAAACAAAAGTCACAGAAAAAGAAATAATGAGCAATAATTTTAAAATGGAAATGGAATTGAGCCTCGTTCAGAGTTAAATAGAATTTAGATTGCTGGAATTGGAGGTAGTAAAAAGAACAAACCATGGGCATGGAAAATAACAAGCAGCACTACCTTCATGTATTCGTTCAACAAACATGTAGTAGTATGGAGCCCCTAATGGAAGGGCTTGAACGGCATGAGTCTTAGAACTATGCACAGGAGAAACAACACTGGAGTCTCAGATGTGATGAGCTATGTGTGTTAATTGGACAAATGGGTGAAGGAAGAAGGAATGCAGGGGGGCAAAGCAAAGGAGAGAGGGAGTAAAGGGACTTAAAGAACTTGTATTAATCACAGCTTCAGGTGGTGTGAGAGCTCATAGGGACCCGATTCTTCCGGAACCTGCTCTTGAAGTTCATGTGTCCTTTTGTGCCATCCCTCCAGGTCCTGGTGTTTGATTTTGGTAGTGAAGTTTACGTGTGGCATGGGAAGGAAGTCACATTAGCACAACGAAAAGTTGCATTCCAGCTGGCCAAGCACTTGTGGAATGGAACCTTTGACTATGAGAACTGTGACATCAACCCACTGGACCCTGGAGAATGCAACGCACTCATTCCCAGGTAACCCTGCAGGGCTCACAGAATAAGTGGAAACCCCTTGCAGGCCCACTCTTCCTAAACCCATCCACCATCCCTCACCACACAAAGGCTGTCATGAAGAGTCACAAACTAAATTTGTCCTCTAGCTCTTACCTAATTAACGTAGAAGTATGGATGTTACAGTTGCAGTAAAGGAAACCCCCCCCAAGCCCCCCGTGACATCTCCAGCACTTTCCTGATGGATGAACAAACAACTGTTAAACCAATAACACAGTGGAAAAGCTTCCCAGAAGATGGAATTCTGCCATTGCTCCAAAGGTGTTTTTCTGCCTTTGCAGTACAGCCCCTGAGCCCCTGAGCCCCAGGACATTTTTGGCAGATGTTGCTGTTGCCTTTATGTCTTTTGGGGTGGAGGGAAGAATGAAGGTATTATATTGAAATAGCAATTATAGTGTTAACATTCCCTACAGTGTACTAGACTTTTTAAATTGTTTTGATGAGTCATCAGAATAGGCACAATCTAAGAAATATGAACATATAAAAGAGAATTCTTACATGATTTTTTTTTTTTTGATCTTTTTGAGACAGGGTCTCCTGTAGCCCCAGCTGACCTGGAACTCACTATGTAGACCAAGCTGGCCTCAAACTCACAGAGATCCATGTGCCTCTGCCTCCCAAGTGCTGGGATTAAAGGCATGCACCACCACACCCGGCCTTTACATGAATGTTTTTAACTACCAGATCCCGCCCCCTGAAATGCTTTAAAACTGTTTGTGTCACATAGTAAATGAGAAACAGGTATACCACAAAACAGCATAGAATAATAGAGTTTCCAAGTTTCCTGCCTAGTTTTTTCCTTAAAATCCAATCATCGATTTTATTATGATTAAAATGAAAAGCCAGACCTGTAATCCTAGCATTCAGGAAGCTGAAGCAGAAGGATCATTTATGAGATGTAGGCCATCCTGGGCTACATGGTGGGTGAGTCCCAGGTCAACCTAGGCTACAGAATGAGAGACCCTGTCTTTAAAAAGCAAAGGGGGAGCCAGGCGTGGTGGCGCACACCTCTAATCCCAGCACTGGGGAGGCAGAGGCAGGCAGATCCCTGTGAGTTCAAGGCCAGCCTGGTCTACATAGTGAGTTCCAGGATAGCTGGGGCTACAGGAGACCCTGTCTCAAAAAGACCAAAAAGAAAAAAAAAAAGCAAAGGAAGGTAAAAAGAAAAGAAAAAAAGAATTAAAAATTTTGTCAACAGTTGAAAACTTTTAAATCCTTAACAAATACTGTAACAACTAGGAATTTGAAAGATTGAAACAAAGTCTAGATCATTTGATTTAGTGTGATGGAGTAATGCTGAAGCACAGATGCTGTATTGCAGCCAGTTTATATTTAAGTATGACATGATCTCAGATCCGAACATGGCTAAACAGGCACCTGGCTTCCTGGCTTCCATCATCTGTGCCACAGAGTCACAGGAGCAACTTTGAAAACATGCACCTGCCAGGCCCAGCCCCAGAGATGGGGTTGTAGCTGGAGCTGGGTAGCTTATAGGATCAGGCTCTTAAAAGCTCCCTGGGGACTAAGGTCCAGCCTTGACTGTGCACTCAGCCTGTCTTAACATACAGGCAGTTGACACTCCTGAGCTGAAATGGCTCAGCCCAGCCAGATGTGTAATTCAGGGGAGGAGCTGAGTAAAAAGCTGGAGGCTGTGCTCCTACGGTCACACCCCTCACCACAAGCTACTGTGTCCCTTAGTCCATTTCACAACACATTGCGGGGGTCTCTCCCTCTCTTCGCGGGTCATTGGCCACCGGTCCACGAGGGCAGGGGGAGCAGAAACGACGAACAGAGTCAGGACGGCCAGTGAGCACTGACAGAAGAAAGCCCTTCTGGGGAGGCAGGTTCCATGACGCAGTGAAACAGAAACAGCTCTAGATGCGTTGCTGGATGCACAAAAGAAACAGTTAGAGGCGTTAGGGTGGGTGGTGAAGGGAAGAAAGTTAGCAACATATTGAATGTATTGGCTCCAGGACATGGTTGATCTTATCTGATCCTCTGTTTGTTTTTTCTGCAGAATAATATTATGATGAGTTAACATGGGCTTAGCTGCAGGTACAAGCTGTTGAGAGATATGAAAGTCAGCTGTAGGGTAGCTAGAGAATGCACGAGATATGAAAGTTAGCTGTAGGGTAGCTAGAGAATGCACCTGAGTAGAACTTTCCCGTTACTACGATACACCAGCGATCGTCCCATGGATCTGCAGCATATATTAGGGAATAGTCATGGTTCCCCTGAGTAGAACTTTTCTATTACTCCTATACGCCAGCGATCGTCCCATGGCTCTGCAGCATATATTAGGGAATAGTCATGGTTCCCATAGAGATACTTACTATCCTTTAGGTAGATGGGTCTTTCCTGTCCTGTTATGCCCTGATATCCCCCAGTGAATCCTAGTTCCAACCTACAGGGATTGAAATAGTGGCAGCCCCCATAGGTATCAACTTCCTTGAGGCATGATGGATCTGTTTGTCGAAAACGGATGCAAACATATTCGTTAGTTCCGTATCTGCTAGCATTTGGGTATATTATGGTTTCTATGGGTTTTTGACAGACCACTAGGGGGCAGTCTGCAGTTCCGATTATCTGATTTTTTTTCCTTGAAATGTTTCTCTGACATAAAATCTCCAGAACATAGTATTAGGGAGAGTGGGGCTGGCTGAAGCGTTGCTGTTAAGCAGGGTAAAAACGGCCATGAGGATGACAGAGAAAGAAGCTCGGGGGGTGCATCTGCAGCGAGCAGTCTCCACCAGATCATGGATCTCGTTCCACGTGATCCGGTGTGGTTTTGGGTGTCGTTTCCTCCTCTTCCTTTTCTTTGTCTCTGACAGGGTCATGCAAGCCATCTCTTTTGTGGGCGGGGAGGTGCCGGACATTTCTGGCTGGAACCCAGATAGGCTTTGGTTGATCCTGTGGGAAAACACAAGCAAATCCCCTCCCTGTGGTCAGCAATGGATCTGGCCCTTTCCAGATGTCATCAAGGGGTGCTAAACTGGAGAGAGTAATGTTAGTGAGGCATTTGTAATGAGTAGGCTCACTCTTGCTGGAAATGCAAATTGGATAGTTAGCCAATTGTTTGAACAAGGGAATATCCACTAGATGAGAGTCAGTGAAATCTTTTTTTGTTTCTGGGTAAAGAAGGGTGGTATTAACTGGTACTGCTGTCAGTATAGGTCTATTGCTGCATGCACAAAATAAGCAGTTAGAGGCATTGGGGTGGGTGGTGAAGGGAAGAAAGTTTGCAACATATTGAATGTATTTGCTCCAGGACATAGTTGATCTTATCTGGTCCTCAATGGCTTGTCCTTGTGGGTTGTATGGGATGCCAGTGCAGATATCCAACACATAGGCGAGTATCCTGCCTGTATTCAGTAAGTCTATAGAGGAGGGTTTATATAAAAGAGGCTCAGCTAGACACATGCCTGTAATCCGAACACTTAGGAGGCCAGGCAAGAGGATCATGAATCCAAGCCCCACCCTGGGCTACATAGCAAGAACTTGTCGAGAGAGAAAGAGAGAGACAGAGACAGAGACAGAGAAACCTTATACTCTCAGTCAAATGAGAAGTGAGTGGAACATAGGGCACAGTGGAACATAGAAAACATGGTGGATCACTCTGAAGCAGTATCCTGGTCTGAGTTTGAAGCCAAAGATTGCTGTGGAGGGAGGAGAGATACTGTCCTGTTTGTTCTCAAGGCTGTATCCCCCTGAGTTCTCCCTTTCTAGCTGTGTTGGAGGCTGGAAGCAGAGCTCATTAACAGAGTGTTCATCTAGCATGTGTGGAGCCCTGGGCCCATTACCAGCACCAAAAACTTAAGATAAATTACCTGTGGTCTTGGGTGCGGTATCAGACTCTGAATCCCCAAGACCACACAATGCTTCCAGGTGGAGCCCAGCTGTTTCCTCCCTTTTTTTGTCCTCCCTGCCTAGAAATACATGTGCACAACTTTCACTTTGTGAGAGATGAAAGTACAGTGTGTTTATTTTAGTAGCAGGAGAATCTCTGCTCCCTGGGGAGATGTGTTGTAACAGGAATAAAGTCATGGAGAATTTGGGGTGAGCTCTATCTTCCTCACATCTATTGATTCATTGGCAGAAACCTTGGTGCACACCTTAAACAGGTCAATGCGATGTGCCGGGGCTCCTGCCTGTGCAGAAATCCTGGTCCAGTGAGCCACACCCAGGGCGTCTGCAAGAATAGTATTTGTTCTTGCAAGAGAATGCAGAGTGCATGATGCAAGAGACGAGCAGCCTCACACTGCGGTCAGGCACATCACCTCCACAGGCACATACAATGTCACTCACCTGGTAAATGTGAGAAACCACCACCCAGTCTGTATGCCACTTGTGTATCGTGATTGTGTTTTCAATAGGTACCATGACTGAATCTGGGTTGTATCTTATCTCCCGCCATACAGGAAAGGACAAGGGCGGCCTGACTGGGCAATATTCGGGAGAGTTACTGAACACAATGAGACTATTCTGTTCAAAGAGAAATTCCTCGACTGGACAGAGCTGAAGAGACCTACAGAGAAGAATGCTGGGGAACTGGTCCCACAGAAGGTACTCGGGGGAGGAAGCCTCCAGCTCAGAGCCAGTGTGGATAGCAGCCAGCCAAACAGCTATGGCGATAGAAGCCTTCCTGGGGTGCAAAATGATTTTCACTTCCATTCTAACCTTCACTGTTGTGGCGATGGATGTTCAGGCCTGCTAGGTTCTTCCCCTAAATAGAGCCTTTTAAGGGCATGTGTAGCCTGATACCCTGAGAAAATGTGGAAGCTGAGTTTCTGCACTGTCCATTAGCAGCTGGAATGGGGCTGGGGATGTAGTTCCCTGGTAGAGCATTGCCTGACTGGCACCAAGCCCTGGGTTCCAGCCACAAAAAGGAAAAAGAAAAGCAATAGAAACTGCATGAGTGTAACAGACACCTGCAGGGTGAGGACAACTGAAATGTGTCTGTTCCTTGTAGGAAGATTCTAGGGCTGACATCAAGCCCTATGATGTGACACGCATGGTGGCAGTGCCCCAGGTGACAACTGGTACCGTCTTGGATGGAGTGAATGTTGGCCGTGGCTACGGCCTGGTGGAAGGGGATGACAGGAGACAGTTTGAAATTACCAGCGTTTCTGTGGATGTGTGGCATATTCTGGAATTCGACTATAGCCGGCTCCCCAAGCAGAGCATCGGGCAGTTCCATGAAGGAGATGCCTATGTGGTCAAGTGGAAGTTCATGGTGAGCACTGCAGGTTAGTGAGCACTCATATGTCCCCTGAGCAGACAGGCTGGGAACATAGCCCTGGGGAGCAGGGTGCCTGTGCTGCCCTGGGTGCCCTCAGCTGCAACTGAGTCCTGAGACAATCTAGCCATGTGTAAGTGAGGAATATTTAGGGAGCCTGGGAGAGAAGTAAGGCTCTAATGCCCAGAGATGCGTGTGCTGAGGCAAGGCACCTGCTCCTCTTGTGCTACCCCTAGAGGGTTTCTGGGAAGGCCATGCTTTGCCTGCAAATGAAAACATTGTGTGTCCACGTGCTGCTTGAAGAAGCCATTGAATGCAGCCTATCACAATGATTTAAACTGAAGCCAAATGGTGGCACAACTTGGAAGTAAATATATAACATAAGATTTGTTTTTTAAAAGGTGGGATTCTGGGGTGTAATTCAGTGGTAGTGACAAGGTTGTGGGTTTGATCCTCAATAAAAATAAGCTCTTGGAGCTTCACCCACTTAGTGGGTGAAGTGTCTGCCACACAAGTATGAGGGTCTGAGTTCAGATCGCTGGCTCCCACATAAAAACTGGGCATGGTATGGAACTGTGGAAATAGGAAGCAGGCCCCAATCTTAGTTGAAGAATTATTGGTGGCTGATTACTGCTGGGTGAGGAAGAGCTGATCTTCTTAAAGGGAGGGACTCTAGATAGACTGACTAGACCTCAATGAATGAACTTGCACTGAGGGACATCTCAGGATACTAACTTGACATGATAGGCCTTAATGCAAATGACAGAATGTATGTATTCCAGTGAGGGGCTATGGGAGGGTGCCAGTGGGGAAGAGGGTATAAAGATGATTAAGATGTTCTATATGAAATACACAAAAATTCAATTAAAAGTTCTTTTAAAAAAAGAAAAAAGCTGGGCATGGTAGGATGCATCTGTAACCCCAGCACTGGGGAAGCCCTGGAGCACACTGGCTAGCCAGTATAACCAGTCTGTTCAGAGAGATGCCCTGTCTCAAAAAAATAAGGTGGACAGTAGTGGAAGACACCAGACATCTACCTCTAGCCTATATACACACACACCACACACATGCATATACACATGTATGTATACACACAACATACACACATATACTCAAACGTGCACACATATACACACTCACACATGTGCATGCATATGCACACACACACACGCACAGCTCTTCCTTAAAGACTAGGAGCACTAGTCATTGTCCTTCCCCAGTTAGAAAGCTGATGTCACAGCTCTGTGACTTGAGAGTCACTTCCCAAGACAGTTTCCTGGCATCTAAGCATGGCTGGCCAACAGGAAGCAGATCTTAGAGACCAAGAACCTTTGATTCTTTCCCTGATACATGAAAGATAGTTCATTATCAATGGCAGAATTTCCTGACCTCCTGCCCTGTGAAGCTGCTTTTTGAAGGACTGATTAACAGACCCTCCAGAAAGTATACAGCAGGGATGAGACAGAACAGAAGTAGGAAGAGGACCAGGATGTGTGTGGGGAGCAGGTTCCCTTATCCTTATTACCTTCCAGCAGTGACGAAGCAAACCAAGGCCTGGGCAGTCAACACAAGATTGTTGTGGCAGTGAGGGCCCCATCAGTTGTGTGGTAGTCAGTACCAGGCTGCAGTCCTGGAGTTCCCATAGACACCACCCCCAGGCAAGATGCTGGGGTCTGCCCCTGCCCCTCACAGCAGCTCTGTCATCACACTGATTTCTCAGATAAATAACAAAACAGCCACTGGGAGTCTGGCCCAGCCAGTAGGGAACTGAGCCACATGCTAAAATCTGAACTGGCCTTTTTTTCAGAGCTGAGTGTGGTATGGCCCACTGTGCCATTCACCCCGCAGGAAGGGCTTGGATCTGGACCCCAGTATGGGATATGGGGAGCAATAGGGCTGACTCAGAGTTGGATTCTGCTGCACACCAAACTTCCTAACAAGCACAAGAAAAAACAGTCTTCATGGCCTGACAGCATGGGTCTCTCCAGGCAGAGTAGGGAGCTGCACCTCTTACCCTCTTCCTTCCTAAAAGCCGTCAGGAGCTCTCCCTTTCCTAAGGAAGCCACCTCACTGGATAAGAGGCCACAGAAGGATGGAAAGCCCAGACCCTTGCCCAGCAGCTATGCATGTTGGGTAAAGCTGCTCAACCTCTCTGAGACAGGATGTAGTTCCTGGCCCAGAAAGCATTAATAGGAGAATGTGACGTTTTAGCATGGTACCTGTCCAGAGTATAAGTGCTGGGAATCCCCCACCAACACTTGCAGCAGAAACAGAAATCCCCAGTTTGGAAGACCCTAACAAGCTAGACTTGACCACCTGTCCAATACTGTGATCCAAGAAGCAATGGTGAAAGGTAAAGAAGATTTCATTAATGTGGCCATAAATAAAGGGGTCTCATGGCCCCAAGTCCATCATCAGGACAGTGATGTGAGCTTTAGGACAAAGTAAAGGAAGAATCAGGGTAGCAGGCAGAGGTATGCATAATGAGAGAGTCCTGGTTAGGGTAGAGTCTGGTTGAGCCTTGCCTTGGCTCTGGTTCTGCACAGTGGTTCAAAGACTGTCTTCACTTGAGGGGAGCCATCTGTTTCCCATAAGATGATCACTGCTGCTCCAGAGTGCATCACAGGTGGGTTTCCCTGTTCTGAAGGTTACTACTGCTTAGGGGTAGTTTCCATTCCTGGTCAGAACGATGTATCTCAAAGGGCTGGAAAGATGGCTCATCAGTTAAGAGCACTGGCTGCTCTTGTAGAGGACCAAGGTTTGGTTCCCAGCACCCATATAATGGCTAACAAGAGTCCATAACTGCAGCTGGCCTCCATGGGCATTGCATGACATGGGTGCACCTTCATACATGCAGGTAAAACATTCATACACATAAAATAAAAAAAAAAATTTAAAGATATGTATCAATCAGTCATTCCCAGAATCCAAGATTAAAGACTCAAACAGGTCAGAGAGACAAAATGGGGGCCAGTAACTAATGCCTTTAGTTTCATCACCTTTCAACAGCATGAAGCCAGGGTCCACACCTTAACACATGGTCTTTTGGGAACATTCCAGATCTGACTAGAATAACTAAAGAATGTGAGTCAAGAGCATCACCTCCTGACCTCACTGGGCCTGGAGAATTCTACATCCAGATCACTGTCCCTCCACCCTCAACTCACCCAAACTTCTCAGAAAGACCTTCCTTCAACAGACAGTTCCATTACCCCTGATCCTGCTCAGTGCCACGCCCCACTGACTGCTTTCCTCATGACATTCATCACTGTCTAACATTGTCTGGCTCATTGGCCAGCTAAGTGGAATTGTCTGGCTCCTACTTGCAGCCCCAATGTGCTGATGAGTGCCTGACCCAGGACAGGTACTCAGGAGATACTGTGCAAAGTGAGAGACAGTCTTGAGGTCGGAGTGGAGTTCTGGCATGTTCTCTGAAGTAGCCGTCTGACCTCTACTTTGTGGAACTGCTTTCTCTGCTTCTGGTGCTCACTGAGCCCTGTCAGGACGTAACAGGAAGGACAGTTGACCTCTCATTCTGGACACACTCTGGGAATGGACAGGAAACCTCTGTTTGTTAAGAGAATATTAGTCACCAGAGGCAGAGGGTAGGTGGATCTCTGAGATTGAGGCCAGCCTGGTCTACATAGTGAGTTCCAGGACAGCTGGGGCTACAGGAAGACCCTGTCTCAAAAAAAGAAAAAAAAAGTGTTAGTCAGCAATACATCTCTTCCACTTCTGACAGAATTGGGAATTGGGAAACTTCCAAGTCTTTTTGAAACTAGAATAGATTTGACAGTACATTTTTTCCCCTTTGCTCATGGGCTGGTCCTACTGTTGTTAGTATCATGTCCACTGTGATCTGTTGAGTGACGTACTGTAGAGAGTATGTGTCTCTGCCAGCCTGGTCCTGCTCCAGCAGTCACTGTCTCCCAGCCACACTCCGGAGGGGAACCTGCTTCTGTCTGCGGTGGCATGTATTTCTCTTGGGGTTCCCAGAGGGCCCTTTGGCTAGCTAAAAGATGGCGTGATGGCGTCCCCCTTCAGTCCCGAGGCTCCCCTTATTTCTGGTCCTCTGGGGAACAGAGCCAAGTATTTGCTCCCCCCTCCCCTGGGTGTCTCAGCTGCTTACCTTGCCCCCTGCCATTCTGTCTGCAGTGGGAAGCCGACAGAAAGGTGAGCATCCAATAAGAGTGGCCGGCAAAGAGCGGTGTGTCTACTTCTTCTGGCAAGGCCGGAACTCAACCGTGAGTGAGAAGGGCACGTCAGCTCTGATGACAGTGGAGCTGGATGAGGAAAGGGGAGCCCAGGTAAGTCTTAGGAAGTCACTGCTCAGAGACCATGACCATGCAGTGCCTGGCCTAGGAGGACCCTGGCTGCCACAGCACTTCTGGTCCTGGTTCTGTGGAAGATTCCAGGCCCCATCCACTTTCATCCTCCCCACTGCCTTCTGATCTGCAGCATGCAGCACAGTGTGTCAGCAAATGCTAAGTCCAGGCAGTGTGGTCAGTGTACTGAAAGGCAGTCAGGAAGTCACAAGCAATGGGAAGACATGCCACTCTCCACTTCTAAAATGGGGAGATTGTCAAAGGCATAGATCCACAACTGGCAAGAACCAGCAGACAGGGTAGGCAGCCTCACAGCCTTCCTCTGGCTTTGAGTGACTGGGAGTATCCATGCTCAAAGCACTTTGAGCCTGAGAACCTTAAAGACTCAGCTTCTCCACTCATGTGATGTATAAAGAGAGCACCAGAAAGCATAGAGGATTCCCCTTGGATAAAAAACCAGCCCAGGGGCTGGAAAGATGCCTTAGTGGTTAAGAGCACTGACTGCTTTTGCAGAGGACCAGGGTTCGATTCCCAGCACCCACATGGTGGCTACAAACTGTCTTTAACTCCAGTTCCGGGGGAATCCAAAGCCCTCTTCTGACCTCCGCAGTACTGCACGACACAGGTGCACTCACAAACATGCAGGCAATACACTCGTACACATAAAATAAAATAATAAAATATTAAAAAAAAAAAGAGGCCCAGATCACTGCTAATCCTGTTACTTCCATGTTCTCTCCCTACACACTGAGTCTCAGTCAGACCTTAGGGCTTTCCATGTTCATGGAACCACAGTAGATACTGCAGAAAATACATTCCCCCAGACCCACTAAGTCAGTGACTAGCCCTTCTATAGCTGAGAGGTACACTTTGTTAAACATGTTGAGATCAGCCCTGTTATAGCCATACCACAGACTACCACTAAAACACCAAAATCTGCATTGCAAAGACTATTCCATGACAGAAAAATAGGAAGTGATGAACGAGAAGAAAGCAGAAAATAACACTCCTGTTTTCATCAGGAAAAAGTACATACTTGAAAAGTACTTTGGAAGAAAGTCTACACCCAGTGTTTTTAATACTCCTCACCTTCAGGTGCCAGAGTGGATACTGGCTTTTGTGTGTCCTCTTGATATTTTCCAGATTTTCTGCAATAGACACACTTCCATGGCCTTGAAAACCCCTTCTTCTGACCTGTTTTCCTGTGTTTAAATTTGCAGGTCCAGGTTCTACAGGGAAAGGAGCCCCCCTGTTTTCTTCAGTGTTTCCAGGGAGGTATGGTGGTGCACTCCGGACGAAGGGAAGAGGAAGAAGAAAATGTGCAAAGTATGTTACTTTTATTGCTAGAATAAAAATTCTTTTCTTCTCCATGAACGTATTTTCATAGCAGGGCTTTAAAGTAAGTCTCGGGGCTGAAGAGATGGTGCAGTGCTTAAAAGTGAGTACTGTTCTTGCTGAGGACCCCCATCAGTAATCTCACAGCCATCTGTAACTATAGCCCCAAGGGATCTGACGCCCCCTTTTGGCCTCCACGGGCACTGCACTCATGTACAAACCCATACACAGACAAACACATAAACATGTATACACATCGTTAAAAATAAAAATCTTTATGTATGCCCTCATGTGGCTCTGGTCCCTCTGGTTCAGCATCAGGACCCCAGCCCCCAGCCCCATTCCACTGAAGCTTCTTTCCTGATCCACCTTTTTGTTCAGGAGGCTTTTCATTACTTAGAACCCCACCATTCCAAATTATGTTTTAGAGCTTTCAGTCATCTTGCTTTATATAAATCTTGGAAAATGTTTTCTCTGCCTCATGAACTTTAGGCAACCTGTTTCTAACTTCAGAAGCCTTTGCTTTTCAGAACACCAGCTGCTGTCCCCCCTTAGCCTATCATCAACCACAGTCTCCTGGTCCTGTCCATGCAATGTGTGTCTTTGGTAGACTCCAGGGACCCATAAGGGCCACTCTCCCTGTGCCCGGCTCCTTCATAACTCTGTGCTGCTGCTGCCCCCTGCAGGTGAATGGAGGTTGTACTGTGTGCGAGGAGAAGTGCCCATGGAAGGGAACTTGCTGGAGGTGGCCTGTCACTGCAGCAGCCTGAGGTCCCGGACTTCCATGGTTGTTCTGAATGTAAACAAGGCCCTCATTTACCTGTGGCACGGATGCAAAGCTCAAGGCCACACGAAGGAGGTTGGAAGAACTGCAGCAAATAAAATCAAGGAACAGTGAGTGTTGTTCCTCTGACCCACTCTGCACAGAGGGCTTCCTAGCAGGATGCAGACAGGCTAAGGCAGGAGGGATGCTATCCTAGTTACTTTTCTGTTGCTGTGATGAAACACTTAACCAAGGACATTTATATAAAGAAAAGTTTGTTTACAGTTCCAGGAGGCTAAGAGTCCAGCATGGCAGGAGACACCAGAACAGAAAGGGGAGCATTCACATCTTCACGAAGGCACAGGAAGCAGAGAGAGAGAAATTCGAAATGAGACATGGCTATGAACTCTCAAAGCCCGCCCCTGCTGGCATGTTTCCTCCAGCAAGGCCACACCTCCTAAGCCCCCAAACAGTGCTACTAAGTGTTCAAATACTTGAACCTATGGAGGATATCTCATTCATACCACCACAGACCCCTAAGGGATGTCCCATGTGCTTCAAGTGATTCCCACAAGGGATGGTTGAAAATGTAACCAAGGACCTCAGACATTCAAAATACACAGGACACACATCTGCACCTCCACGAAGCCTCCAATTTGAGGCCTTTGCCCGCTTTCTGAGGACTTACCTGCCTCAATAGAAGGCAGCCTTGATCCAGCCACTAAGAACAAAGACAAATGGTGAAGAACTCATTCACTTCTTGATTTAGTAAATACTTACTAAGCATCTGCTTAGTGAGCATCTACTTAGTGCCAAGCAAGGGACTGGGGAATTGACAGTGAATAAACCCATCTCTCTCCATCAAGTTTATGTTCTAGCAGGAGAGACAACAATAAATAGAAAAATGATGTTAGATATAAAAATGTATATTGTTTTCATTTCATATTCTATATAAGTACGCCTTCTTCCCTGGGGCAAACTGCCCCCTCCCCCAACACAAATCCTAGATTACAGAATGTTTTTACTCACCAGTAAGAATTGCTTTTAGTCAGGGAGAGTGAAGTGATCTGTGGCTTTAGTCTTGAATAACTGTATACTGCGGACACCGCAGGCTTGTTAAAAACCCATGGATGTCTCTCCTGTGCAGATGTCCCCTGGAAGCGGGATTGCACAGTAGCAGCAACGTGACAATACATGAGTGTGATGAAGGATCTGAACCACTGGGATTCTGGGACGCTCTGGGAAGGAGAGACAGGAAAGCCTATGACTGCATGCTTCAAGGTAACTTGACAGCTTCTATCTTTTTTTTTCTTAATTCACTCACTAATTTTTTCACGAAGTATTTATTGAGGAATGGGCGGGGCGGCTCAGACAGCAGAGTGCTTACCTGATAAGCATGAAGACCCAAGTTTGAGCCCCAGAACTCATGTAAAAAGTTAGGGCACAGTGGTGGGCAATTATAGCCCTAGTGCAGGGAGACAAAACAGGAGGGTCCCTAGAACTCAGTAGCCAGGCAGTTTAGCGTAATTGGTGAGTTACAGGTCAATGAGAGGCCCTGTCTCAAAGGAAGTGGGTGGCATTCCTGAGGATAACACCTGAAGTTGTGCTTCAGCCCACACATGCACCCACACACATACTTTTAAAGATTTATTGAGCACATGCCATGTACAACACACACAGAAAACAAAACCTAAGGTAGATCCTCCCAGGCCTACACCCTAGTAAGGGAGTGACTCAACACACTATATGTGACTGGTTTTCATGTGAATAAAAGTTGTATGTCATGAAAGGTTAGCATAGAAACGATACAGGTTCTCCCACCAGGAAAAACCATCCACAGCCCTGTGCAAAACATGGTGTGTGGTGGTTTGTGGTGTGTGCTCAGTGCCTTGGAAGCTGGTGTGACCTGACAAGAAAAGAAGAAAATTCTAGAAAACTAGGTTACAGTAACATGAAAAGCTGTGAAACAAAACAACAAGGTGCTGTTCGGTCTGACCAGTATTTATGGTGAAGGAAGCAATGGGCATCCCAGAGAGAGTATGTCTCCAGAAGTTCTGGAGCGTCTTGAACCACAGCCCCAAGTCAGATGGGCACTGCGCTCTCAGCCATCGTGGATGGAAAAGAGGCTCAGAGGACAGTGACTGATGGCCGGTGCATCCTAGTAGATACTTTGTGAGTGTGTGAGCTCATGAAAATTGCCAGCTTCCTACGAACTTGGAGCCTGAAACTCAAAGAAGGATTGGAGAGGCCATGGTTCAATCGCAGGACCTTGAATCTGCCCAAAGGGGGCAGGCAGAAGGAAGAGTTGTGGGACCCCTCATCCTTCATGTAGCTCTTACCTTTTAGGGATTCATAGATCCCTGCAAGATAAAGGGACATGGTCCTTAGAACAGGACAGAGTAAAATGTGTGTGTGTTCGATTTGGCTGGATTTGGAGGTAATTTATAAGGCATTTATCATTATTTGTAAGGCAGTAGACAAAGATAGACATTTGAGAAGTGACATCTTGTTGTTCCAGAAATCAACAAGAGAACACAGCATAAAGGAGGGGACAGTCACCACAGAGCTCAGGGATGAGGACAAGGGAACAAATGTTCCTTTTTGCTAGCGAGATCCTCCACAGAGCCTTTCACCAGCGAGCACCAAGCAAAGGGACAAGAGGTCAGAGTAGCTGACAGGTGCGGGAGGAAGCCAGTGCAAAGTTAGGGGACAGAATGATAAGATGAAGGAACTCGTGCAGAATGAGTGCGCATCCTGGGAATGCATGGATCCAAAAGCTTCACCAGTTTGGGGTTTTGTCGTAGTTTGAGTTTTGGAAGATTTGATTTATATAACAGAAAATATCTTGGGCGTAGGACTCAAGTCTAAACACAGAATTCATGTGTTTCATGCACACCTCTTCCCCATAGCCTGAAGAACATTTTACACGGTATTTTTAGTGCTCATGCATTTTGACTGCAACTCATGCATGAAGTCAGGTATGAATCCTCCATGTAGAGTTCATGTTCATGCTTCAAGCACTGTGGACTTTGGAACATTTTGGATTAGGGATGCTCAGCCTGAAGTAAGAGGGGCATCAGGGTCAAAAAGAAGACTTGGTCTCTAGGTAATGTAATGGGCTCCAGTTTGGGATGGTGCGGTAGAATCTCCCCAGAGAGGCCTGAAGAGTAGAAAAGGGTGATAGAGGACAGTCCCTGAGGACCAGGTCGACCACAGGGGAGTTCAGCCTGGGGAGGGCGCACCTCTTTGTTGCTGCTTAAATATCTCCTGTATGCCAAAGGTTATTGGGCCTGTGAAAATTTCCATTGTCCACCAGGGATAACAATCATAGGTGGCCCGTGGGCGGAGCTGGGGAAGCAGTTTTCAGGACACTGGTTTCCCTAGGAAGGGGGTGGCATGGGCTTCCGGCCATGTCTCCTTCGCTACTGTCTGCTCCTGGTCAGTCTCCTTTACCTCCAGAATATAAAAACTCTATGTGTTTTTCTTTGTTCTTTGTGTCAAGTTTTAGTTCAGTCCTTCCTTCTACCTGGGGTTTGTCTTGATGACTTGTATCCAGTGATGGGCCCGTTTTCTCCTCTGTGGCTAAAGCAGAGACTGGTTCCCACTGATGATTCAGCTCATGGAACCTTAGGCTGAGAGACTCCTCCCTGGCTCAGATCACCTGTTGATTCCTTTCCTAGTAGCAGCTCCCTGGGAAGTAGCAGGTCTCTGGGTGTTTGGGATGTTCTGAGGAAGCCACAGACTTCTTCTGTCCCGTGTCCAGAACCCTCAGAGCCATTGACTCTGTTTGGAAAGATGCTGACTGCTGCCCTACAAAACAGTCATTCCGTTCACCATGCGGTTTGGTATGTGAGTGTGTGCGTTCCTGTCTTTCCTCAAAATATACATTGTTAACATATAAACTTTAAAAGACAGACTTTTATTAAGCAGCTCTGATGACCAGCCAGTGTTATGTAAATTAAATCTCTCAAAGACAACTAGAATTCACATTTTCCTGTGCTCCCCATGCACTTCTTGATAAAAATACAGTAGGGCCCACTCTTAGAGCCAACCCATTCCCTTTATTGCACCTCAGTGCCCACCTTGCTACCACTGAGAACTTTAGTGACTTTAGGGCATTCTACAGTATGTTTCATTCCACTGTCTGCTGTGTCTGTCCATCACACCTGCCAAATTGTGGCCAGTTTTTCTCTATAATATAATAGTGCAGCTTGTTTAATCTTAAAAATAATTTTTATGTCTGTTGATTCATTATTAAGATAACTTCTTTGGCATGGGACTCAGGCATCAACCTGTGTCTCCCAGGACGTAGGCCCAAGTTTCTTTCTTCCCAGAAACAGACAAAAAAAATATACTTCCCAACACTCAGAACTGAGCACAGCACCTTCCTCTCAGGTTAATAAGCTGGGGGAAGCATTGTTTCAGTTTAATTCATTAACTAGAAGTAGTGAGGTGACTGTTTTATCCTGTGTGTGCGTCTGTGTTTGCATGTGTGTGTCTGTGTCTTTGTGTCTGGGTGGGCATGGGTGTGTTTCTGTGTATTTGTGTCTATGTGTCTTTGTGCCTGTGTCTGTGCACATGTCTGTGTATGTGTCTGTGTATTTGTATCTGTGTGTCTCTGTGTATATGCATGTTTGATATGTGTATATGTGTTTGTGTGTCACTGTGTGAGTTAGTGTCTGTATGTGTCAATGTGTGTCTGTCTTTGTGTGAATGTATGTGTATGTGTCTATGTGGATGTCTGTGTGTCTTCATGTGTCAGCCTATGTCTTTATGTGTGTTTGTCTTTGCTTCTGTGTCTATATGTCTGTATAAGCATGTACATGTGTGTCTCTGCATGGGCATACACACAGACACATATTTTAGACACTTGCATTTCTATTTTGAATGTTTTTTTGTTCCCCTTGCATATTTATTAAGTATTTCCCTTTCCCATGTTTATGTGCTTCCACATATGAAGGATATTAACCAGTCACAGTATTGCAAATGTTTCCCATTGTGTTGTTTGCTTTTTGATTATTAGAAATTTTCATACCATAATTTTTCATCTTATGTGAATGATAAGAAGCCCCTTCCCCTTGGTTGCTTCTTTGCCATCCAGGCTAGGGATGTAGCTCAGTAATACATCTTGCTTTCCCGACATGCCAGAAGCCCAGGTCCAATCACCAGCATAGCAAAAACGTACCTAAAAAAGTAAAGCTCATCAGAAAGCGCCTATAAATCAAATTCTGCCTATTTTCAGCAAGTCTTGGAGTTATTTCATGCTTTCCGTTCAATCCACCTGGAAGTTGGTGCCTATGATGTCCTTAGCTTTGTTCTCTCTCTTTGGAAGATCCTGGAAGTTTTAACTTCGCGCCCCGCCTGTTCATCCTGAGCAGCTCCTCTGGAGACTTCTCGGCCACAGAGTTCGTGTATCCTGCTCGTGCGCCCTCTGCGGTGAGCTCGATGCCCTTCCTGCAGGAGGATCTGTACAGCGCCCCCCAGCCAGGTGAGGCCTGCAGGGGGCGCAGACGCGCCAGTGCCTTCCTTAAGCAGTTCCTTTCCCTTAGCTGTATTAAAAGTAGTTTCCATCTGCTAGCATACTTGCTTGTGATAGTTTGTTTAACCCACCCACCCCCAAAGAAAAAAAAAACAGAAAATCAGCAACATAGCAGAGTGTCAGGAACTGAATTCAGTCACTTCATACACACCAGGACCCCAGTGAATACACAGTGCCGTGTGGCATCTGCACCATTCTCCCAGCCGTCCTCTCCAGTTTTGTACTTCATGATCCCCTGTGGGCTGCCCTTGCTCCAACTATAATGTTCTGCATGTGGGAAGGGCAGTTTGCTTTGTCTCTCTTTCCCCAGCAGACTTTTCTGCTTAATCCTATTGGCCAGAGCTTGTCAAGTGGCCATCCCAGCTGCAAAGGAGCCTGGGAAAGCAAGTGGCTAAGGAGACCAGCTTGGGGATGTTCCCAGCAGAGGCAAGACCGCTGACTTGGGCTCCCTGATGCAAGTTTGTACTGTCCCACCAGGCCATGGGCTAAGTACCCAAACCTGTGGGTTCTTACCGTGGTTGCAATATTCACAGGAAATGGGCTCTGGAAACTCCCACCTTCCTGCCCATCAGGCCCCTGACCTCATGGTTCTGGAGTTTCCAGAGCCTGGAAGGTGTCTCACTGGTGCTACAGCAACACAAAACCTAACATGCGTCTGTCAGGCTTTGGGCAGCATAGTGAGTGTCTAAACTGCAAGGTTGCTCCCCACCTTCTATATCCCAGGGCTCCAGGTGGGTCAATCTGCACCCGTTGGCTTTTAAAGCTATGGCTTTCCCAATCCTGAAATGCTGTGGGGAGAGGCCTGAGGCGTGCTAAGCTGGCAAACTGGCGTTTTGCTATGTAGAGTAAGAGTCAGGTGGAAGGCATGGAGAGGAGGAAGAGGAAGAGGCAGAAGGATTCTGTGTGGAGTTCACGTCTCTGTTAAAGAACCAGGGAGCTGCCGGCTATGGAGACACACACAGGTAGGATGTGCTAAGGAGGCAGAGGCAAAAGGATCACTAGTTTGAGGCCAGCTTGGGATACCCATTTTTAGGGACTAGAGAGATGACTCAGTGGTTAAGAGCATTGGCTGCTCTTGGAGAGGACCTGGGTTCAGTTTCCAGCACCCACATGGCAGCTAACAACTATCTGTAACTCCAGTTCCAGAGGATCCTACATCCTCTTCTGGTTTCCAACCAACTCTGCACATACAGGTGTGCTTACATTCACACACATAAAATAAAAATTTGGTTGGGTATGGTGGCATATGTCATTATTAGTCCTAGCACTCGGGAAGCAGAAGCAAGCAGATCTCTGTGAGTTCAAGGCCAACCTGGTCTATATAGAGAGCTCCTGACCCACCAGGGCTACATAGTGAGAGCCTGTCTCCAAAAAGAAAAGATTGAACTGTGGACTTCTGTCACTGCACAGGAGCTGAGGGCAAGTGCAGTGTGCTCTTTGGTCCTTACTGAGCTCTTTGGAGACCAGTTGACTCACAGCCCTAGTGACATCCAGAGAGCCACCTGCAGGCTGTGGATGAGTAGGAAAGGGACAGTTTGCAGAAGGAAAGTCACCTCCTCACCTTGCTAGGGATAGGGGTAGGTATGCAGTGGCCTCTGTGTTCTCTCTCACTTGGAGCTTTGGGGAGAGGGCTGTCCCCCTCTGGCAGAGAAGTGGGGATTCTGTTTGGGGCAATGTGTTGGAGGCTCTGAAGGAACACCTTATGGTCTGCTTCTGCCCTTGCCTCACAGCGCTCTTCCTCGTGGACAATCACCATGAGGTGTACCTCTGGCAAGGTTGGTGGCCCATTGAGAACAAGATCACTGGCTCTGCCCGCATCCGCTGGGCCTCTGACCGAAAGAGTGCCATGGAGACCGTCCTGCAGTACTGCCAAGGTAAGGGCAGGAGGGAGAGGGCAGGGAGCCACCGCGGGCCCAGTGTGGCCCTTCTGAGATGCCCACAGACAGCCATGGTGCCAGCTCTCCCCCTTTAAAGGCTGGAAGCTTATTAATCTTAAGATCAATACATTCTCGGCTGTCAGCAGGAAGGAGAGTCCCCTGTGTTTTTCACACGATGAATCTGCCCACATGGTGTCCTGTGGAACAGACTGACAACCCCTTTGCACTCGGGGGTGATCATGCTGGACAGCCTCCACTCTGCCCAGTTCTCTTCACAGAATGTGCCCAACTTTCTGTCATTCAGTATTTCTTTTGCTATTGTATCCAACAAAAAAGACACTTAGTAAATTCCTGTTTGTTTGTTTTTAAATCTTGTTATCCACATGAAATTTGTGGTCTTTTATATAAAAGATACCAGTAATTTTGTATACCAGTAATTAAGGTCTTGTCTGAGTATTTATGGTTTTACTGATTAGCTTAACATTACTGAATATGTTCACCTATTCTTCTCTTGGTAAGCTCTCTTTGTGATAGACCACCTTTTAAGCTTGCATTGATGTTAAATCTACAGTGCACTTAATGCTGTCATAGCTGTCTTGTGTTGAAGTTTGTTCTGCTTGTTCTAGAAATTGGAGGAAAACCTCCACAGGTGAATGAGCAGGAAGCATCTGTGTCTTCTGGGAGCTCTGAGAACTTCCCCTCCTCCCGGGGATCCAGAAACATTTTGCTAGGTTCAGGAACTGGAGGGTCACGTTGGTTTTTCACGTCACATAACTGATTAGGCACAAGAGTCACATCTCAGGTCAGCAGTGTCCATGTGTTACATAGTCCACATTTTAAATATAAAGTCAAGCATCTGGGAGGAAGATGGGAAGAGCCCAAAGAAAGCAGGGTAAGACAAGGTCATTAGGTCCACTGACATGTGCTTTCTGTGTACCTACAGGAAAGAACCTCAAAAGGCCACCCCCCAAGTCTTACCTTATCCATGCTGGGCTGGAGCCCCTGACATTCACCAACATGTTTCCCAGCTGGGAGCACAGAGAGGACGTTGCAGAGATTACAGAAATGGTAAGCCCACCCCGGCCCTCCCCTGGCTTCTGCTCTGGGTGGACACCATGAGAGAAAAAAGCAACCAATTGCACTTTCAAAGTGGGAACAGACTGCCAGGCATGATGGCTCACACCTGTAACTCCAACAATTGAAAGGTAGCCTGAACTATAGAGCATGTTCCAGGTCACCCTGGGCTATATGTTAAGACTCTACTTTAAAAAAAAAAAAGTAAGGATATACTTTTCCTGTTGAATCTGCTAGCAGGGCTACATGGATTGGCTTAGGAAGAGGAGAAACCTGATGGGAAATCAATTGGAGTAGTTTAATAATTTTCTACACATAATAATACTCAAATTTTTTAAATTCTTATTTATTTTTATTCTGTGTATAAGTGTTTTGCCTCCATGTATGTATGTGCACCACATGTGTGCAAATGCCCACAGAGTCCAGAAGAGGGTGTCAGATCCCCTGGAGCTGAAGTTACAGGCAGTTGTTAGCTGCCATGTGGGTGCTGGGAACTGAACCTGGGTCCTCTGTAAGAGCAGCCAGTGCTGTTAACCACAGAACCATCTCTCCAGCCCCAATGCTCAGATTTTAAATACAAGCAAAGGTGAATGTAATTCCTTTGTAAATTACAAATAAAAGCTGCTATGACTTAATTCTATTAGCACACAGCCCATTGCTTCTCAGAGCCTGTGGAATCCACAACCAAGTTCTCCAGTGTCCACTGTTAAAGCTCATGTGGAAGACATGCAGATTGCAATGTGGGAATATGTTCAGATAACCAAGGGAGTGAGCAGATTGTGACTCTCCCATGGTAAAGCATTGCTCAGCACCTCGTTAACATTGTCTTTCATGCACCTACCTGTATTGCAGGAGACAGTAATGATCCCTTACACCTTCCAAACATGCTATCATCTAGAAGATTTTATTCACCAACCATTCAAGCTTAGTGTAGCTGTGCAGAATTTCTTAATTTATGCATTAACTTTGCTAGCAGTAGAAATGAAATCCCAAGGGTTGTTTTGGTTTGGCGGGAGTCAGGATTTTTCATTTTAATTGTGTTACTCTGTAAGAGAAAGCTGCTTTTCTGGGTGAAGCGGGGAACAGACCTGATACCCAGAACTTACAAACTGCAACAATGCAATATGAAAGAAACAAAACTGCCAATCAACAAATGGGCTAACGAAATGAACAGTCTTCAAAAGAAAAAAACACAAATGGCCAATAGCTATTTTTAAGTGTTCAATATCCCTAATCATTAAGAAAGGCAAATTAAAGTTACTTGGAGATGCCACCTCAGTCTAGTCAGAATGACTGTCATCAAGAAACTGACAACAAATCTTGGAGAGGATGTGGGGAAAGAGGATCCCTTGTTCACTGCTGCTGGGAGGATAAATTCATATGGCCATTATGGAAATCAGCTTGCGGGTTCCTCAGAAAATTGAAAATAGAATCATATAACCCAGCTATACCAACCTAGGTGTGTGATCAAAGTACTCCATATCCTACCGTAGATATTTTCACATCCTTGTTTATTGCTACTAAATTTACAATAGCAAGGAAAAGGAACCAGCCTGGATGTCCATCAGTATATGAATGGATAATGAAAGTGTGGAATATTATTCAGCTGTAAAGAAAAATTAAATCATGAAATCTGCAGGAAAACAGATGGACTTGGAAAGTCAAATATTAAACAAGGGGACCCAAACTCAGAAAGAAGAAAGCTGCATATTCTCCCTCCTATTCAGAGCCTAGCTTATAATGTATATATATAAACAGTCTCAGTGCACGTATAGACCTGAATTTATTTTATAGGAAATTTTAAACATGCAAACAAAAATCTGCTGTTGCAGAGAGCCTATGTGATTGCACAGGTGTGTCTGCCCAGCTGGTCTTTCTGCACGGGGGGGGGGGGGGGGTGTAGAACCCAGGGCCTAACGCAAACCACAGCCCCTGTCACTGTAACATGCTCCTCTACATAGAATCAGCTGGTTGCAGCCTGATCTCTATCCAGAGTCCCAGGGCTCCAGAAGAAGTTCACAGTAAGCATGGCTCACAGAGCCCAGGTGCGCCGAGACTTTCAGGCCATGACTGCCTCATGTCCTCTAAGCCCAAGATGGAAGTTGCCCTGATATTTCTGTGTTCACTGTAGCTCATTGGGGTTGGCAGAGGACTGCATAATGTCAAGCAAGCACATTTGTTTTCTCATTTACTGATCAGGAAAGAACATTAAGATTCATCTTATTATTACCCATGTTACCAGTGTAGAAACATAAAACATAAAAGCATAAAACACCTGCCTTGGAGCTGGAGAGATGGCTCAACAGTTAAGAACACTGGCTGTTTTTGCAGAAGACCCGGGTTTGAATTCCAGCACCTCCATGGCAGCTAACAACTGTCCGAAACTCCAGTTCCAGGGGATCCAACGGCCTCTGCTGTCCTCCGCGGGCATTGCACAACATGGGTGCGCTTACCTACACGCAGGCAATACATGCATACACATAAAATAAAAATAATAAATAAAATATAAAAAACCCCACCTGCCTCAAATCTCAGTGTCACCAAGTGAGGAACCGTCCACAGCTGTAGGTGTGTGGGCTCACAGTAACACCTACCTCTCACCTGGGGGTTGCTGAATTTACCAACAGCTTGAAGTCATTCGTTCCCTCAGCTACCTGACCCAAAGAGGGCAGCTTTTCTGCAGTGCAAGTGTAATGGGTGAAGATGATTTGCCAGAATATCCTGTTCAGATTGAATGCACACAGAGGAAAGAGAGAAAATTCATTGCACAATGTTCTAGGTGCATTTTGTTACTCTGTGTGTGTGTGTGTGTGTGTGTGTGTGTGTGTGTGTGTGTTGCTGGGATGGAACCTGGGGCCTAATGTATACTAAGCAAGCACTCTACCACTGAGCTATACTCACCCTTACTTTCTTTGTGAGACCATTGTGGATTAAGAATGGGGTCTAGGGGGCTGGAGAGATGGCTCAGCTGTTAAGAGCACCACCTGCTCTTACAGAGGACCCGAGTTCCATTCCCAGCACCCACATGGAAGCTAACAGCCATACATAACTCTAGTTTCAGGGGCATCCAACACCTTCTTCTGACCTCCCCAGGCATTGCACAACACAAGTACACTTACACACAGGCAAACAATACACTCATACACAATAATAAACAATAAATAAATTTTTTTTAAAAAAAAGAATGAGGTCTAGGGGCTGAAGAGATGACTCAGCACTTAAGAGCACTGACTGCTCTTTCAGAGGACCCAGGTTCAGTTCCCAGCATCCACATGGCAGCTAACAACTCTAACTCCAGTTCCAGGAGATCTGACAACCCCTTCTAGCCTCCCCAGGCATTGCACACATGTGTGCCCCTACATACATGTAGACAAAACACACATTTAAACTAAAAATAATTTTAAAAAAAGAAATGGGATCCTAGGGAGAGGGGAGAAGGTATAGTTTCTTTTGAAGCTAATTATTTTAAAATATGTCAAAACATATTCCACTATTTGGAAGCTTCTGGTGTCTTGACTTTAAAACCAACAATCTTGCTGCATTGTTCACTCAGGGGTAAGTTGAGTCCCTAAACATTTATTAATTAATTCATGTATTTATTTAGAGGCAGCTCTGAGACAGGACTGATTTGAAACTTGGTGTTAGGGTGAGAAAATAGAAAGTCAGGCGCCAACTCCTGTACATCCAGAGCCCCCACTCCCTTGACAGAGGAATAAGACTGTCAGTCCTCACGTCCCCTGGCTGTGTGAAATGGGGCAGAGCTGGGGTCTGCAACCTCTCGGTAGACGACATGTGTTTATTCATGTGCTCTCTGCTCCCTTTTTCTCCAGGATACAGAAGTTTCCAACCAGATCACCCTGGTCGAAGATGTCTTAGCCAAGCTCTGTAAAACAATCTATCCCCTGGCAGATCTCCTCGCCAGGCCTCTCCCAGAAGGAGTGGACCCTCTAAAGCTTGAGATTTATCTCACGGATGAAGACTTCGAGGTGAGTAGCCCCTCGGGTGGGGTGGTCATTACGTACTATGGTGGGGACATCCTTTCACTCAGCCACTGGGCATCTTTTGCACTTCCTCCAGTTCGCACTCGACATGACCAGAGATGAGTTCAGCGCACTGCCCACCTGGAAGCAGGTGAACGTGAAGAAAGCAAAGGGCCTGTTCTGAGGGCTCAGTGAATGATGCCAAGAAACCACCGAAGTCACTTCCAATGCCACTAAACCTGAAAAACTGATATTTTTTTGGACTGGTATTTTTTTCCTGTTAAAAAAAGAAAGTATTTTTGAATCAGAGTTTTTCAAAACCTGACCTTGAGTCTACTGCTTGTCCTGGAGTTGAATATGTTGTAAATGTGTAGTAGAATTCTTCAGAAACTCTCTTTCTCAAGGTTCAAGAGAAGTGAATCTAAAGTCTCTTCCATTCACTGCCTCCGTGACTGCTGCAGCCTAGATGTCCTTTCCCAGCTCCACATTGCCTTTTTTTAAGCAGTTCTCTCATAAAGTGTTATTTTGATAGTTTATGGATTCTAAATATATATATATTTATATAAACACCATATAAATCAAATGTGTATTTAACAAAACAATATGTATTCATTCACTTTCAAATTTCTTTCTTTGGTGTCAAAACAGTATCACAGGGTAGATGAAGCTGCTTCTCTTGAGTTAGGTCTGCCACCGCCCTGTCCCCTTGTTCAGGAGTGCCTCCTTCAGCGCTAAGTCTGGCTTGTTCTTAGTACTGCTTCCGGTGCTAATCTGAACAAAGGCTTTGAACTTCCTGGTGTGGACTCTGAAGAATCTATGCGAATCAACCTTTCTACCTTAATATTGCCCTGGAAATGTATAGTGCCTTGTTTTTATGTACAGTTTATATACAGAAAAGTGTGTTCTGCCTTTTTGATGCTGGTTTGGAACATTATCTACAGTTTTATTCTCAAATAGTAGAAATTTTTAAAAAATGTCAATTTCTAATACTGATTGTAAACATTACACATATCATTTTGTGACATAGGACCCCCCCCCAAATAAAACTTCCAAATAATCACAATTGGTTGGTTTATATTGAATTCCAAGCTTGCTCCTCTGTGAGGGACAAATCTTGTAACTGTCAGCCAAGTGCAGGTATGCTGCCATTAAGTATTAACTATTGGAATTCTGGATTTCACCTAGGGCAAGGTTTTAGACAGAGTGTGAGACTAAACAGGTATTTGACTCTTGGATCAGTTCTGAGTACTATAATGAAGACACGTTTGCAGAGTATTAGTCCCCAAAAGTTCCTTTTTTGGTATATTTATTTTTTTATGTGTATGAGCATTTTGCCTGCATATACATAAATGCACCCAAATCATGAAATGCCAGAGAAGGGTGTCGGATTCCCCTGGAACAGGAGTTATGGATGGTTTTTAGCCACCATGTGGGTGCCTCTGCTAAGAGCAGCCAGTACTCTTAACCGCTGAGCCACCTCTCCAGCCCTCTTTCTTCAGTTCTTAACAATTGCATCTCTATTCAATTTCAGGATCTTAGTTCTTTTTCTCAAAAAAAAAAAAATGGATGTATAAGACATTAAAATGTCAAATACAGGAGTGCTGGAACACCAGTCTAGCATGTGTGAGGCCCCAGGTTCAATGCCTAGCACTGCCAAAAACGTATAAAGACAAAGCCAAGATTTTGAGCATGTTCTACAGAAAAGTTGAGTTGTTACAGCCCTTCCCCTCCTGCTTAGTCTAGTCTAAGGTGTCTGAAAATCACACTTCTGAATTAAACTTCCTAACTCTCTCCCATGCCCCACCCTGGAACTACACAGGGCTGGGGCCTTAAGCTGCTCCTGGGCCCACAACTTTGATTCCGTGATACTGCCCACTCACCAAACTTTCCCACCTTGCTTTCCTTATGAAAGGAAACAATAACTAGTCCTCTCCCAGCATCACAGGACTCTTAACAGGGATGAACTGGAAGGTCTTTGAAAACTGACAAGTGCTGTGGACCATCTGGTGCTGATGTTACTGTGAAGGTAGCTGAAACAGGAAACCAGGAGAGTTTAAATGAGGGGGTGCACTCAGGCACTGGGAAATGATAGAAGGGAAAGGAAGGGGCTCCAGGTGCATCCCATAAGTCAGATCAAAGGAGGAATGAAGCGAGGTTTCTATAGCCAGTCCAGGAAGTTATCTAGGATCTAATAGGCATGGGCTTGTATTAGGGTCATTCAGATAGAACCTGTCAGATACAGATAGAGGCCAACAGGATGGATGCATACATGGATAGATGCATGGATGGAAAGAGGATAGGAGAATTAGGCTCATTTTTCTAGGGAGCCTGAGAAGTCCCCACAGGCCATCTGGAGACCCTGGGAAGCCCATGTGTGCCTCTCAGCTCAAGGCTACGCCTGGGATCCTAGGGACTACATGGGTGTCTTAGAGCCCAGAGACCACAGAACCTGGACTCCGGATAGTGTCTACTTAGTACAAGAATGGTGTGTCCCTACTGTAGGAGAGAGAGACCAGATCATCTTTGTGTGTTTTAACTGTGTCCTCCCTAACACACCTTCCCCATTCATTCTATTCAAGCTTACACACCTTTCTTCTCTTGAAACACCTTCACAGACACACCCCAAATGTTACTCTACCAGGTTAGTGTTCCTTCATCTGGTCAAGAGGACAGAGTTGACATCACAGAGAGTCACTACAGTGGCTACAAGAACCTCCAATGGAGCATCGACTCAGCATAGCCATGGCAGCCAAATTGCCCCAAAGTGCTTTTAGTTCTTCCATCTGTACTTGTATTAAATGCTGTCCTTGATGATGAGCAGCCGACCTGCTGCTTGCCTCCCTGAATGACATACTATATCCTATATGCCTCCCTGAATGACACACTATATGCCCAGGCTCATTTTTCATCTTTCCTGCTTCCAGAACAAGAGCCTTCCGTGGTTTTTCATATCCCTTCATAGCTGCAGTTAACATTGATTCATCTCAAGATGACTTATAATACCCAATGTCATGTAAAAAATGTCATATGATGGCTCAGCGGTTAAGAGCACTGACTGCTCTTGCAGAGGTTTGATTCACAGCACCCACGTGGCAGCTACAAACCATCCTTAACTCCAGTTCCAGGGGAATCCAAAGCCCTCTTCTGACCTCTGCAGCATTGCACAACATGGGTGCACTCACATGCAGGCAATACACTCGTACTCTTAAAATAAAATATATTTTTTAAAAATGTCATGTGAATAGGTGTACTGTTAAGAATATTACAGCTCCCAATTCCCCCAAAAGTTGGTACACACTCAGTTCAAACAATTCTCTGAATATTTCCTATCTGTAGTTGGTTGAATCTGTGGATATGAAGTATAGATACTGAGGGTCATTGTGGCATCTGGCCCAAAGACAGCTTCCTACTTTTATTTATTTTCAGTGTCTGTTTGGGTAAGTGTACGTGCATGTGTGTGGAGGCCAGAGGTCGACACCAGGGTCCTTCCTCAATCACTCTCCACCTTGTTTTTGATCTCTCCCCAAACAGCTCACCCGTTCCACCAGATTGGCTGGCTCATGAGCTCCACAGATTCTCCTGTCTCTACCTCCCCAGCTCTGGGATCACAGGCATGTTCTGCTACACAATGCTTTTCACACTAGTACTCAGATCTGAACTCAGTCATTATGGTTATGCCTCAAGCACCTTACCAACTGAGCTGTCTCTCCAGACCCACTTTTTACCTTTAAAACGTAAATACACATCGTGCATGGTAGTGCACTCCTTTAGTTCCAGCACTCAGGAGGCAGAGGCAGGAAGATCCCTGTGACTATGAGGCCAACCAGATCTACATAGCACGTTTCAAGCCAACCGGATCTACATAGCACGTTTCAAGCCAACCTGGTCTACATAGCAAGTTTCAGGCCAACCTGGTCTACATAGCAAGTTTCAGGCCAACCTGGTCTATGTAGCAAGTTTCAGGCCAACCTGGTCTACGTAGCAAGGTTCAGGCCGGCTAGTTCTGTATTGTGAAACTCTCAAAAAGAAAATAAAAAAAAAAGAACCCCAAAACAAACAAGTAAATATACAGCATCATACACTCCGGCTCCGACTCTATCAGAGGAAGGCTATCAGGCTACTTCATACCTGTTGATGTGCCCAAGGTAAGGTCAGAATGGTAGATGGAAAACACTAGAGGCTTTCTCTTTCTGTAACTGTCATGAATCTGCTGTGCCTACTGGAGGATGTGGAGAGCCACTAGTTTCACAGTGTGTGGTTCTGATCCATTGGACTGATAAAGAAGGAAGATTAACGGACCAGCATTTTCATGTCTAATAATGAACAGGTGCTATCCTGAGCTTTTCTGTCCTGCTGCTGCTGAGATTTAAAGAAACCTGCAAATCCAGGTTTGGTGGTGCACACTGGTGATGCCAGCATGCAGGAAGTGGAGGCAGAAGCATCAGGATTTAAAGGCTAGACTGATGAGACCCTAGTTTGGAGAACCCAAAGCAGATGCGCTCTCAAGTCATGGAAGACAGTGTCCAACGCACCCAACCTTGCTATTCCCTCACAAGTCTCATCAGAGCTATGAAAAATGTTCTCAACATCCCTATGCCATGAGGAAGTCCCTTAAGGACTATGTGGGCACTGACTTGTATTAATCTCGAAATTGACATAAACTGCTATTAAACCTCATGGAATTACTAAATCCAGCTTTGCCATCCAAACATCATCCTGGCATTCACCTCTCTGTGCCACTGTTTCATTCACATCTATAACAGGTTGATAAAAACCAGTCCCTATACTTCATGAGGCTATAAGGTAAGACTATAAAAAGTCTTGTGCTAGATCACAGTAGCTGTCCACTAATGCAGAGGATACAGTGTTGGAACTACTTGGCCCACTTAAACTAGACCATTTAGTGACACAGGACATAAGAGAAGATGGAAAACCCACTGATGCTTTGCCAGCTCCCAGGCTCAGGCTGGGGGGCAGACTACCAGCATGAACTGTGGGGCAGTTATCTAGATGGGAATTCAGCTGGTGACCTGCTGTTATGCTTCTCAGTGTACCTACCACTGGCCTCGTCTGCAGGGCTCAATCACAACACTTCAGTGACACGTGACGCACAGTTTGGATCCATCTCCAGGATGGCCCGGCCAAGTGTGAGGTGGAAGGAGATGAACCATTCAGGTGGCTCCTCCCAGTCTGCCCCGGCTGTAGCAGCCATAGACAGCCAGTTGCAGTCGTTGGCAGAATAGGTCTCTGGAAAATAGAGAAGCAACCCCCTCCCCAGCCCTTTAGCATATTGCACCCTCTCCTGACAGCCAGCTGCAGAAGGGGTCTGCCTCCCTGCTCCTTAAAATCCCTATGGCAGGACTGGAGAGATGGCTCAGTGGTTAAGAACACTGGCTGCTCTTACAGAGGATCTGGGTTCAGTTCCCAGCATCCACACAGTAGCTAACAACCATCTGTAAGCCCTCTTCTGACCTCCATGGGCATTTCATGACACAGGCAAAACACTCATACATGTGGGGAAAACACTCAGAAACATTTTTTAAATTTAATCCCATTGACCCAGGACAGAGAAAGCTACTTAGAATTTTGTGGGGCAAAATGATAAGCTTTGTCATGTTACCTATAGATATGTGTCAGCAGAGGAGGGGAGTGGTTTAGAGCTCAATTTGACCATTGGAGGGAATAGCTGGACATACTTCCATGCCTGTTCACAGGGGGAAGTAAAATATGGGGATCCAACAGCCTCTTCTGTCCTCCACGGGCATTGCATGATACAGGTGCGCTTACCTACATGTAGGCAATACACGCATACACATAAAATAAAAAAAAATAAAATATTTTTTTTAAATGTGGATATGCACCCCACCCTCTAACCTGTTAGATTTGAATGTGAAGTCTCCCTCAAAGAGGCTTGTGTATTGAGGCTGTCCCAGCTGATGTCTAGTGGTGATGAATCATCAAAGCACTAAGATCATTGGGTTAATACACTGAGTTCACACTGGATGGGCTATTAGAGGGTGGGGCCTGATTGGAGAAAGTAAGTCACTGGGAGCATGCCTTAGA